TCAAAATATAAGTTATGATCTTGGAAAAAAAAGTTACCTGATACTTCTATCCATACACATTTGCAAATTCTTTACTTCCAAAACTTTTATGGGGTGTGAATTTTGATTGTTTTTTATATTGGGGCAACAAAATGGGCTGCAATATGGCAAACAGTTCATATGACTCACAAATTTTCATCAAGACTAAGCACTAAAGTAATGTCAATAATGAAATAATGACATGGGTCTTATGCCAAATCAGAAAGCAATCTGAATGGTAATGGCTGTGCCAATGGTAGCGCCAATAATGAGCAAGGTTAGAACACTGTTCTGTTACCCGACTAGCATTTTTGATCACTTGAGCCTCATGGTGCTCCCTTTCTTCTTCAAACCCACCAAATCGGACAAAACTTTCCTAGTTTTTCTTCTATTTGTCAACCTTCCTTTCTATACCCAGTTTTTACTATAAGAAATCAATTAATTACAATTAATAAACATGGAATCTCACTTACAACATTGCCTTTCGTGGACTTCCTAGTAAGAAATTGTGCTACAAAGGCCCTCTGGGGTCACTATGTACATCCTTGGATGGCACCTAAGATTTGACCCAATTACACTGCAGAATTAAGTGTGTTAAAATCCCAAGACAGAACTGAGAACATCAAACAAATTAAAAATAAGCAAATAAAACTTTCCATACCCTGTGCCTGTGTCAATCGTTTCCCTAAATTCTGTCTTTATACTTTAAAGCAAGTTCTTAGTAGAAAATGACTGCAAAATACAAAGTCATATGAATTCCTAGCAACAATTAATGAGGAAATGGGAAATAGTTTGGTATAGTACAAATAGAGCTAGTCTCAGCATAAAAAAAGACCTGGGTTCAAGTCACACAGCTCAGACACATACCAGCTGCGTATCACTTCATCTCTCAATGCCCCAGGCAACATTTTCTAAGACTTTACATTTCAGAGAAGGTGCCAATCTGCATTGGTATAGGAAGTTCCTCACTAGGAGCTTCCTACACCAAGGAAACAAGAGAGCCACAGGCACAGAGAAAGACAGAGATAGAGACAAAGAGACACAGAGACAGAGGACAGAACAAGAAGGAGTCAGAGAAAAGACAGAATCACAGTGACATATTTTGATATATTCTATATAATCACATTTAAGTCCCCCTGACTCAAAATATTCCCTTAAGTGTTTGGTTTTCAATGTCCATTAGTCCTTAGAGAAATAATCAAGCATTTAACAAATCAGCAGACAAGTGGCATTGCACAAAGAACACTGAACCAGGAATGAAGACTGGTTCTAATCCCAGCTCTGCTTACTGACTGATAACTAACTTCGTAACTTACAGCAGCACTCCACCTTTCTGAATCTCAGTTTCTTCATATGTAAAATGAAGGGTTTGGACTACATAGATGAACTCTAAAGTCCCTTCCATAATTTTAGCTGAGTCCTCACTGAGGCTCGGCAATATTCCTCCTCTATTTATACTTACTGCACCCTTTTATTACTGGCCATATGAAGAGTTGCAAACTTAGTCTTCACCCCTGGAGCTCTCAATAGCAACCCTACCCTCCCACACTTACAAGAGAGAATTTAACCTCATAAATCAATCAAAAGACGAAGGTCAAACAACAATTCCCCCATATTTCTTGGCTTAATCACCCACCCTCTTCCCTTTCTCCTCTCAGAGAAAGAGGCAACCCTACTTCTTACTAAGGCTAATCCTTCTACCTAAACCTTTGACTCTCACAAACTCCTTTAGGATCTTGAATTAAAAATCAGTTGTCTTCAATATTTCCCTCTCCACTGGCTCCTTTCCATTTGTTTATAAGTATACTCAGGTCTCCCCAACCCTAACTGAGCCTTTCTCATCACTCACTCTCTACTGAATCCTTTGCAATCTTCTTTTCAGTCCTCTACAACTGCTCAAAAGTTACCAATGACCACATAATTACTAAATCCAGCTGGCTTTATTTATCCTCCTTTACCTCTCTGAAGTATCTGACATTGTCAAACTCCCCTTCTGTATGTTTCCTCCATCTTGGCTTAGATATCATTCAACCAGTCCCCCCCCCCAATTCTCTAATCTCTGTGTCTTTTGCCCTCCATGCTCTTCTTGTTTCTCTACACTCTCTCCCTTGGCAACTTCATTTGCTCTCTATCTCAACTATCAGGCTTTTTTTTTAAGGCAATTGGGGTTAAGTGACTTGCCCAAGGTCACACAGCTAGTAAGTGTCAAGTGTCTGGTCTGAGGCCGGATTTGAACTCAGGTGCTCCTGACTTCAGGGCCAAGCTCTATCCACTGTGCCACCTCACTGCCCCAACTATCACTTTTTTTCAGAGCTCTCCTAAAAAACCTCTGACCCTAAGCTCTCTCAGACCCAAATCTCCAATTGAATGAGAACATCTCTTACCTGGATATCCTGCCAATGTCTCAAACTCAGTACGTCCAAAACTAATTTATATTTATCCAAAAAATGTGCTGTTCCTCCTGACTTGACTATTTCTGTCAGCAGCACTAAATACTGACTGTTCTCTCTAATTCACCTTGAATCTCCCATCAATGACAAAGTCCTGCCAATTCTATTTATTTGATAGCTCTTGAATCTCAGACCTCATTGCCACTTCCCTAGCACAGACTCTCCTTACCAACTGTCCAGACTACTTCCTTAACATTCTCATCACCTGTATTCTCTCCTCTTTTCCAAACCACCCTTTACACTGATAGCAGACTATCCTTATGCAGAAATCTGGCCATGCCACCTCTCTACTCAAAACCTTTCAATAGCCATCTGCTACCCAGCTAGCAAAGTTCAATCTTCTTAGCCTGGAATTCAGAACCAACATAATCTAGGGTCAATTTACCTTAGCATTCTTAATCTCATTCTATGTTCCAGCCCGACTGGTCTATTTTTCTTACTGTACAAAACCCAAACTTCACCGTCTCCATGACTTTGTTGCAGCTATTCCCAAAGCCTATTCAATTCAATTCAACTAATACTTATTATGCATTACTATGTGCAAGGCACAGTACTAGGTTCCAGGGAAACAATAACAAAAGTAAAACAGTCTTTTCCCTCAAGGAGCTTATAATCTACTGGAATGCCTTTCCTTGCACCTCTGAGCCCTGCATAATTCCTACACATCCTTGAAAGCCCAACTCAAATGCCACCAACTTAAGGAGGCCTTACCTTTCCAACTCCTCATTGGCAATGGACATTTCTCTATCCCCTGCTCCGGACAGCCCAAGGCATTTTTCTTTGCAACCCTTTAAAGTACTTATACATGTAGCAGTTAAGGGGGACCGTGACCAGTACCTGACTCTAGGCCTTCTCTGGTATTGCCAATCAAGTGCTTATCCTTGGCTGTCACACACACTCTCTAACATCAGAGGGCATTCTATGGGGAACCCCCAAGTTCCCTCTGACTTCCAGAGAGCTGGCTGTCCTCATCTTGTACCTATAGCTCTGCCTATAAACCAGTTAAGTAAAGCTGGTATCAGCATGGCAGAGACATTGGTAGTACCTTTACATATATTATTCTGTTTTAGTGCCTCCTCTGTTTATCCTCCCGTCTGCCCTATCAGTCCCTTCTTTGTACTACAAGAATTTACTCTAATACAATTAATACACAAAAAGATTCATGACACTGGTGTTCTATGCAGTGGGACTAACCTTGTAAGAATACTTTTTTACACTTTAGTAAATAAATCTTGGATGTGATTTTGTGTATGTGTTATATCTTCCTACTACACTGTAGACTTCACTAGAGGAAGGACTGTGCCATATCCAAAATTTATATCTAACCCAGCAGTTACCACAGATCTCTGCATCTGAAAGGTGATTATGCTGATTTGACCTCCAGCTCAAACATTCTATTAAATCTTAGCATCTTCACTTCTACATGCTACAACACAGAAAAGACCTCAAAAAGGGTACCCCTGGTCAGGTGCTGATACTAACTTCTTTGTATAGTAGCTTGGGTTAGCCTTAAAACAGGCAGCTTATTCAATACATAATTTTTAAAAAAACTGATCTTGAAACCATTCTTTAGAGCTGAGGGCCCCTAAGAGAGGGAAGTACATTCCTCTTTATAAACCCCTACTTGACCATCTGCAGGACAAAAACAAGAAGTATATTCTGTTATTTCAGCTACACTCACCCTAGTGTAGGTCTCGGTGTCACTTATTTGGGCCTAAGAATTGGAATTTGTGCGCTTAAACAAAGGCTGCATTTATTTATCCTTGTATTACCTTTTAACTATGTACTAAACTGATTAACGGTGTAGATAAAACTTAGGAGGAAGAGTAAAACTAAATCAGTTTTCACTCAAGCACTTAAGAAGCATTGAATCACTTGTCTGCAAATTACACGTCATTCTTCTTTGTGGACTTCTAGCAGGTGATATTTTATTAGCCCTCATTAGTTGCCCTGCATGTTTAAAAGTAATACAATTTTTAAGTAGTCTACAATTCTGACTCTCACTAATTTAGACTGTATCCTCCAGAACAATTTGTTATTTAGTCATTTTTGTTCATGTGTGACTGTTCATGACCCCATCTGGGGTTTTCTTGGCAAAGATACTGGAGTATTCCGCCATTTCTTTCTCTAGCTCATTTTACAGATGAGGAAACTGAGGCAAACAGGGTAAAGTGACTTGCCCAGGGTCACATAGCTAGTAAGTATCGGATTTGACTTCAGGAAGAAGAGTCTTCAGTGCTCTATCCAGTGTACCACCTAACTGCCATCCATAACAATACTGACCATTTCATCTCTCTGTCCTTTAGTTTCATCTATAAAAAGAAACTTGGGTTAAAGGTACTCCAAAGTTTCTTTTAGTTCTAAGATTTTTATAATCTAGTCAAGTCTTACTGTATCTTTTTTTAGGATGACATATTTAAAATCTAATCTATAAGCAAAATTTATATTCTATAACTGTTCTCATATTTCTTTAGTGATATTAAAAAATAACTGATTTTGTTGCTTAAAAAATATATAAATATATAACAATACCTCTATTTTAATCCTCTTAGGGGATAATTCATCTCTTTCTCCACATTTAGACCTAGAAAAAATAAACAATAAATTAAGATTACAATTTTTCTTCTGGATATTTCATTAAAACAGATTATACAGTTGAAATTCAGATGTCTGAAGTTGTTTAAAGATGTACAAATGATAAACATTAGGATAATGAAAATCATCACCCCAGCACTTTCAAGTTTACATACAGGGGGTTAATTCTACCAATAAAAAGGTAAATAGTAGCCACCATTTAATTATGCAGAAAGGAAATGATCATTACCTATTTGTAGCCCCCAAAAAGAAAGCATTCAAAGATATTTGTTGACTGGCTGCTTCACATGTTATCATGAAAAGAATGAGAAATCAAATAGGGCTGCAATTCTTCCCTTTATAAATGGCAAATTAATGGTGGCAAAGAATTGGAAATTGAGAACATGCCCATCAGCCGAGAAGATCCATCATCAATTTGGGGAATGGCTGAACAAGTTATGGCATATAATTGTGATGGAGTACTATCATCCTATAAGAAATGATGAGCTACATGTTCTCAGAAAAATCTGCAGAGACATAAACTGATACAAAGTGAAATGAGTAGAACCAGGAGAAAATTGTATACAATAACAGCCATATTGTAAGATGATCTACTATGAAACACTTAGCTATTCTCAGCAACACAATGATCCAAGACAATTCTGAAGGCCTTATGACGAAAAAATGTTACCCATCCCCAGAGGAAGAACTAACGAAGTGTGAATACAGATTGAAGCATATTTTTTTTTACTTTATTTTTCTTGGGTTTTTTTATTTTGGTCTATGTTTTCTTTTATAACATGACTAAAATGGAAATATGTTTTGCACGACTACACATATATAACCTATATCAAATTTCTTGCCTTTTCAATGAGAGGGGTGGGAAGGAAGGGAGAGAATTTGGAACTCAACTTTTAAAATATATGTTGAAAATTGTTTTTACATGTAATTGGGGGAAAATAAAATACTAAAATAAAAAAATAAGTAGCAGATTAAGAATAATTTGTAATGGGAGAACAAAACTCACATTTTCACATGAGTTCTAGGAACTCTACAGAAATATCATATAAAATAATACAGACTACTTTAGGTTAAACTTTTTAGTTTAACATAGAGAATCGTAGAGAAAATTGAGTCTCAGTAGGTACAGCTCCTTCTGATTATCCATGCGCAGAAGGGACAGTCTGTACAATCCTAAATGCAAGATAATCTACCGCAAAAGCCTAGGTTCTTGTCCATAGAATCCGGGGTCTTTTCCCCTGAAGCTACTATTTAAATACCTTGGCTACAAAACAAACAAACACAACCCTAAGACAGCAATTGCAAAAGTAATGGTACTAGGTGGAAACCTATGTGAGGAGTCTTGCAGGTGGTAGGTTAAGAAATAAGAGTCTGGCTAGGGTTACTGATGAATAAAAGCAAAGTAAACCTAGATCTTCGGAACTAGATTAGGGAATCTAGTGGGGATGGGCTGTGGATGAAAATAATAACAACAGCTCACATTTATAAAGAGATTTAAACAGCATTTTCTTTCTAACTCTGAGGTTATTTATTGAGTATAAATATTATTATTCCCACTTAAAAAATGAGGAAAAAGCTGAAGTGATTCACTCAGTCACACAGCTTTTAAGTGTGGGACTCAAAGCCAGGTTTCCTGCTTGCAAACCCAGCACTATTCCCATTATATCACACAACCTGTGCATATATTTCAAAGTATAATATGCTTACAGGTAAAATTATTTACAGGTAAAACCACCATCACTGAGATCTTTCAGTATTATGTGCTACTTTGGTCTCTCAAAAGAACTGTCATAGACTTTACTTGTTAATAGTAGAGCTATCTTTTCCCTCAAATACAAAGCAACACGATCTTCATAAACAACTAAAATATTTGCTCACAAGCTCCTTGCCAATAGGTAACACCTCTTCTCCTTCTTTTGAGATCCCATAGGTACTTAGTATAGTTTCTTGCAATCAGTACCTAAGTCATATCACTGTCTATGTCAGACACTCCAGAACAGGACAGAGACAGGGGCTAAGTCGCAATTTTTTTTTAACAAATGCAACTCACAATATGTGTCAGAAGCAGGATTTGAACCCAGGTCTTCTTGATCCTGGGGCCAGCTTTCTCCATTATGTCAAGCTCCCTCCCTAGGTGCTTAAGAATATCTGTTAAATTCAATGATCACACTTGCAACAAAAGCTTCTGAAAAGGGAGAAGAATCCTTTGAGATACTCCCAAAATTATTTATATTGCTAAGAGGATAGTCATAATATTTTGAAGAGCAGCATTCAATAACAGAATTCATATTAGTAATGCTTTGAAAACTCAATGCTAAGTTTTATTTCCTGTGTTTACCACATAGTCATCCCTTTATTCCATCAGGATCACTGAATTAAAAAGGGGAAGGAAGGCATGCAGCACCTGGGCATGGGGCCCAAACATCCTACTTTCACCCTCAGTTACTTCAGCTCCTCCAAAGCTTACTTGGTTGTTCGGTAAGTGTACTTGTAGGTGACTTCTCGAGAAATCTGCCGAGAAAGGGCAAAGAGTTCATCTCTTCTTGTCAACAGGGCATTATCTTTTACACAAAGCTGAGCGGCTGCTTCATTAACAGTCAGCTGAAAATTAAACACAGAAATGATGTTCAGACTTTTCCAATCAATCACATAAAATGTTTCACTAAGTCAATAAATTTAAATGGCATTTCACTTAACAACAATGGCCTTATGACCCTATGGCTTTTATAACTGCATATGTGTACATTCCTAATGTCCTAATTAACAAGAAAACATAGTCAGGTCACAGATTTAAAGCTGGAAGGGACCTTACCTTAGCAGTCATACAGTCCAATCCTCTCACTTTAAAAGGTGAGAAAACTGAGACCAAAAGGATATATGACATGCAAATTAAGGTCACACTCAAAAGAAGTGAGAGAGCCAAGATTTTAGCTCAGGTCCTCTGACTGCTGATCTGGTGCTCTTTTTACTATACCGTGATGCTTCTAGCCCTGCCACGTTGTTGTTGTTTAGTTGTGTATGACTCTTCGTGACCCATTTGGGGGTTTCTTGGTGAAGATACTGGAGTGGTTTGCCATTTTCCTTCTACAGTTCATTTTACAGATAAGGAAACTGAGGCAAATAGAGTTAAGTGACTTTCCCACTTGGTCACACTGCTAGTAACTATATGAGGCCACATTTGAACTCAGATAAGTCTTCTTGAGTTCCAGTCCAGCACTCTATTCACTGTGCCACCTAGCTTCCCATAGGTCCTGCCATATTCTCCAATTTATATTCTTAGAAACCTTCTCAAATGAACCAAGAAAAATCAATCACAATTTTATTATTTTATTTTGAGGGAGAATCATAAGGATAGCAAGTATGTGGGCAAGAAGCAGACAGACTTTGTTTTCCTCGTCTCTAAAAGGAAAGGGCCTGGCACTATATAGTATCTGAAAAGCCCTCAGCATATAGTCAATAGGCAACAGCCCATTAGGTAAGTTGGTAAGCCTTTTATACAGAATACCATGGAGACCTCCTAACTGTTAAACAGTTTTGTTCTGAGCCAAGTAATCTGCTATCGCCTTTTGCAATCATAAAGAGCCTAATTCTTCTACCTCAGGGCCAAAAGCTGGATACGAAAAATGTAGGTGGGAAAATTTGGCTTCATATTTATCCCCTCACCTTAAGAGAACACTAGTAGAAAACATTTTCTCTTAAGTATTTTTGTTGGGTACACAATTATACCCTCTGAACCTGGAGCAAAAGACTAATTTTTTAAAGTATTTTCTAAATAAGTTGTTAACTTTGACCGGGTTACTGCATTAACCACTAACCTTTCCAGTATCCTCTTTTGTATTTTATCCAGTTATTCTTTCTGCAAGCTCACAAGTCTAAATTATTACAAAGTCTGATTGGTCAATTAAAATTTTAAAGAACTGAGAAGAAATTAGTTTGCTATAGAGCCATAGAAAAATAATTCATATGTAAACTAAAAACAATGTGCTTCCATCATCATACTGAAAGCCAAAAACCAAAACCAAAACAAACAACAACAAAAATCAAACAAACAAAACATGCTACAGGTTCTCTGACTCTGAATTCAGGCTCCAAAAGACCAAAAAATTTTACTGAATTCTAAAGTCAGCAAGGACCACCCATGAGGAAAGATCTATTGATGGTCCTCTGAATACAGCACTGGGGGGCTTTTAATGGGTGAATTCCAGATAAAATCTAGACAAAACTTCTATCATAGATATACAGCTAGACAGGCCAGCTCTAAAGCCATCCAGTAGACCAATCTTCTCATTTTACAGATGAGGAAATTGAGGCCCAGAGAGGTTAACATAGGTCACATAGGTCGCTAAGTAGCAAACTGGAACATGAACTCAGGTCTTCTGATACCAATGCAGTAGGCTTTCCACCACACTATCTGAATCCCATGTTCATGCCCAAATCACCAAAATGAAATTAATGCAATAAATCCCAACAGAAATACATATTTAGAATTCTGTTGCTGTTGTTCAATTGTTTTCAGTCATATCTGACTCCCTGTGACCCCATTTGGGGTTTTCTTGGCAAAGATACTGCAGTGGTTTGCCATTTTCTTCTCCTCTGACAGATGTCTTCTCATTTGACAGATGAGGAAACTGAGGTAAATAGGATAAAGTGATTTGCCCAGGGTCACATAGCTAGTAAGTGTCTGAGGCCAGATTTGAACTCAGGAAGATGAGTCTTCCTGACTTCAGGCCCAGAGTTCGATTCTCTGGACTACCTAGTTGCCCTCATTTTAGAATACACTTAATGAATAAACATCTTTTAAAGCAAACATTTCCTTCACTGAAAGCAGAATTTCTGATTGTTAATCACTACAAGTAGAGACAGTGTGGTATGGCAGATAGAGATGACTTTGGCATGTAAGGAGACTCGAGTTCAAGTCTTTCCTCTGACACATACATACTGGCATGTGTGACCCTGGTCAAGTCACATAATTTATACTGACTAGTACTCTAGACAACCCTCTAAGACTACAAATTACAGAGACGGTACTGTACTCTATTGGCAGAGAGAATTTTCCCATACTCTCCATACGAATGAATTCTATATGAATGAGTTCCTCATTCCTTTCTTCCTAATTTCCAAAATATTCAAATTTTATTTTTATAAATAAGGAAACAAAATTTTCTATCCCATACTCAATCCCATTTCCCTCCTACCTTTTCTTTACTGGTCTTTATCATATTCTCTTTTTGGTCTTTATTGACCAAAATGTCAATATTCCATCCATATGTCCAGCTAAACTATTTTTGAAATCAGCTTTCTTTCTTTCTTTCCTCAGCAATATTTAAGCTGAACTAATGAAACTTCTTTATCAGCAATTAATTATCATGGAGACTGATTCTACTAAGAAGATTCCACGATGGGCAGTAAAATTCATAATGTTTAAGAATTAAACCATCAATGATCATTTGATATGCATCTCTCCTGCGTGTCAACACATGGCCTACAGACAGATCTCAATTTGACTTTTGAAATGACAATAATAGTAACCACAAATATGAGAACTAAAGCTTTAGAACATTTGAAAGCTATATTAATATTTATTTTACACATTAATATTTTTTCTTTCCTATTAGATTATAAGCTCCTTCAGGGCAGGGAGCACATCTTACTATTTATTTTATCACCTCATACTGCTTTGCAAATAGCAAACATCAATAAATCTTTGTTAAATGAATAATAAAAGCTGATCTGAACTAATGAAGTCTTTTTTTGTTTGCCTTTCCAACTTTTCATCAAATACCTGATCTAAGAATATCACTTGAAATCACGTGGAGGAGGGCCAAAAAAAAAAGGTAAAGTAATCATCAGTACTAATTGTTAGTACATCCAATATCCAATGTCTTTTCTAAGTTGTCAGGCTTTGAAAACGGTCCTTGGCTTCACCAGAAAACTCAGAATAATACGTCTCTGCTAATCGATGAAATCAAAGAATTAAAAACTGTCACTGGTCCTTTAGCAAAAAGTACTTTACTAAAAAATAAAGTATAAAATACTTTTATAATCATGACTTGTTCTATAATTATTTACTTTGTTTCCTATGTGCAATAAAATCTAGTTTCCTGTGTACATACACAAGAGTAAATTTATGGGGCAAACGCTTTCCCAACCCTTCAAGACCTGAAAAATTATAGGTATAGAGAACATAGGGGTATGTTCATCCAGCCTGCAATATCTCTCTCCTGAAAGACAAAAATGGCATTCTAAATCACTCAGAAATCCATCTGGAAGTTAGTTATTCCTAACTCAAATTTTCCTCATTTAAAAGGTAAAACTACCAACATTCTTGGAATTTTTGGAAAAATCCAACTAATTATTTTGAAATATAAGGCCCAAAACACTGCCATAGACAAAAAGAAATGGAGTACTAAACAAATTGTAAATTACCTTTTTTTCCCCCTGTAATTTGCCCAGGATGCCATAATACCCTAATTCTGAAGATTAACAGCTGAAGAAACTTTACTAGCAATAAAAGTTAAGCCAGAATTGGTAGATTAATAGCTCAGCAACTTCATGGCTTCAGTATTACAGAAAGAGACTCGTGAACTCAAGTCAAAACTACCCAGTAGTATGAGCTTGGATCTATTTATTTATTTACTTATTCATTCATTCATTCATTCAGTTATTTATTTATTTATCTACTTATTTATTTTTGGCAATTGGGGTTAAGTGACTTGCCCAGGGTCCCACAGCTAGTAAGTTTCAAGTGTTTGGTGTGAGGCCGAATTTGAACTCAGGTCCTCCTGACTTCATGGCCAGTGCTCTATCCACTGTGCCACCTAGCTGCCCCTATGAGTTTGAATTTAGAGGACTTTGCAAAAAATTTTGTCAAGAACTTCCCCCATACACAAAATCTTTTAGTCATGTAGCTTGTGAAAATCCTTATATGCCCCTGAGAAAGGCAGGAGCTGCTTAGAGAGCAGTTTCCCAAAGGATCTATTCAAGCACTTAGGAAAATCCCCCTTTCAGCAGTCAAGAGACACCTCTCCTGTCTTTCTTAATTTTTAAACTGAGAGTTATAGTGGGTTCACAAAATGAATTTATTCCCACTCCTGACACCCTCTAACATTTCCCAAAATAGGGCCTTTCAGTGTTGACTTTGTATTCTATTTACATTTCTAAAACAGATTTAAACAGGGCTAAAAAATATGGCAGACTTTAGACTTTACTGAAAATATAGTTGTCTTTTGTTAAAATTATATGTTCTTAAGAAGATTTTTATACAATATTTAAAAGAATGAAAGGACTATATGATTATACCACAAAGTATGCTTTCCAGAATCACTGAGAGCTCTTTCCCATCTCTAGACTGTGAATACATACAACAGCAAGTAAAGAAGTTCACAGTGTGGACAGATACGTTCATTTATCTACAACAGTTATTTACCATTATACTATAACCCATTCTCTACTGGTTCCTAAGAACTGTTCATCCAAAACACCATCACAAATCCATGAGATGGGTGTTGCCAATTGGACTTATTACAAGAAAAAGGCACATGCATGTGTGGAGACTTGACAGAACCCATCACTAAGACAAATTTAAAAGTTTAGAATACTATACTTTAAATCATTACCAAATTGTCCAAATTGGCACCAAATTTTGTTACAGACTTAAAAACCAATTCAAATACATGTAGTGAGTATTCAATTCACATATATGTTTAATTCATATTTATTTCTTATTTCTAAAAGGAGAAATGGCTTAATCACCTGTATTTTTTTTTATTTTTAAAGAATGAAGCATAATTTAACTTCTGAAAAATACATATAAATGCAAGCCAGAAAAATTTTACTGGCACTCTTTGTACTTAATCAGAATAATTTTGGATACATAGAGATGCAGGGGTATAAAGCTAAGAATTTTTATGCCAAAGCCAATCTAAACCCATTTTTTATAAAGTCATTAAAATCCTTGGAACACTGATCTAACCTGAATTTTTATTGGCACAATCTGAAACTGCTTTATGTTCTGCTTATTTTCCCATAATTTTTTTAAAAAATGGTTAGTTATAAAAGTCATTAAGAATTTTATATCTATCCAAAATAATCACATACAAACTGTATTATAAATACAATAGTTTTATGTTTTCATGAGCCCTTGAGCTGAGATTTCTTACAAAAGTAACTTAACACTATACCTCAAGAACTGTCACCTTTAAGTTCATACAAAAATAATGAATGTTAAGTACTTTAACATACTACACATCTCTTATATTCTGTGAGCCCTTTTTCCCAAAGATAATAATTAATATCAACAAAAATAGGAAACATTTATATAGCACTTACTATGTGCCAGGCACTGTGTTGTGCTTTACAATTATTATCTCATTTCATCCTTACAACAACCCTGGAAAGGTAGTGTCTGAGGCTGGAGTCAGGAAGACTCATCTTTCTGAGTTCAAATCTGGCCTTGGACACTTACTAGCTGTGTGACCCTAGGTAGGTCATTTAACCCTGTTTGCCTCAGTTTCCTCACCTGTCAAATGAGCTGGAGAAGGAAATGGCAAACTGCTCCAGTATCTTTGCCAAGAAAACCCCAAATGAGGTCAGGAAGAGTCAGACATGACTGAAAAATGACCAAACAACAACTTCCTGAGTCTAAGCCTGCACTCTATCCATGGTACTAACTAGTTGCCCCTATCATTAAAAGCCCAAACTTTTAAAGAGCTATCCTTTGAGGGCATTTCTAGTGTGCATTTTAAATGTCATAAATATATTTTGCTCTAAAATGCTTCTAAATTTACAGCCTAGGAAAGGTAGCATTTCTTGAATATGGAAAAGAAAGTAGAAAAGAGGAAAAAGGAAGGAAAAGCAGCTAATTCACTTATGTTCTGTTTTTACCTCATGAAGTGTGAGATGTTTGCCATCTTTCCTTTTTGAGTCAAATCTCCCATATATTGCACTATATTTCCGAATCTCCTCCTCTTTATGTGGATCATCATCATTCATCTCAAAGATGTGGCCAATCATTTTAGCCAGTTTCTTGTTGGTTTTCAGCAATTCTTTCACTTCATTCAAGTCACTTTTGGGAAGAGTGGGGACCATTCGTTCCACACACTCAGCCACGGACAGAGCAGCAGCTGCATCTAGAGTCTCCGTGCTCTCCTTTGGTGAGGCTGGGGAGCCAAGGTCTGCTGGGGAGAGGCTGTGCTCACTTTCTGTAGTGTGGTGACCTTGCCAAAGTCTGGAGTCGCCGGCACTCTGCAGCGCTAAGGTCCCCACAACGTCTGACTTACCTGGCCCCAGGCTCTGCACGCATGTGGTAGCAGCACATTTTGGAATCTTCAAATGAGGTTCCCGAGCATTGCTGCTCCTTTCATAAGAACTACAGGACATTCCCAACCATGTAGGCGAACCTTCTGGTAATTTATAAATGGGGATGCTACTGACAGGCAAGGAAGTCAGAGGCTGATTAAAAAGGCCAGGATTTGTCACCCAGTCCCGTAAAGCCTTCTGTAACCTTCTGACATGAAGGGGCTTGCTAGCCATGCCCACTAGGGCCATGATTTCCAAAAACTCCTCTTCACCAGCTTCACACAGCTGCTGGACATCATCACCACCTTGTTGGATAAAGGCATCAAAATAAGAAAGAAGGTTGGCTTTTTGTAATATTCGGTACAACTGCAACTCCCCCAGGGTCCTAGGTAGAGCTGATGCCATTACTGAGAAGGCCAACCTGAAAAAGCAAAGCAGAGGAATAATTCATCAGATTATTCATTATTATTCAAAAACAACTACTCATTTTGTATAGCACTTTAGGGTTTCAATGTAATTTATAAACATCATCTAAGCTGCCCTTTATTCCTTCAACAAACTAGATATCAAAGGTTTTATAGTACTAACAAAGAAGGGAGTAATTTATATTTGGAAAGAAGATTCTGTGATAGACATCATTATGTTTTTATAGCCTTGGTACCAAAATATTGTATAAAAATTTAAAATTCAAGTTTTTAAAACATAAAATTAAATTTGAACTAAGTTGACAAAAAAATGCAACATAACCAAAAAAAAAAAGTCCTTTTTAAAAAGCCTTCACAAGAAACCGGGGAAAAAAATCTTTGCAGTCAGTTTCTTTGATAAGGTTATCATTTCTAAGCTATACAGAGAACTGTTTCATAATAAGAGCCATTCCCCAATCGATAAATGGTCAAAGGATATGAGCAAGCCAGAGGAATAAACCCAAGTTATCAATAGTCATATGAAATGTCAAGATACTATTTAGGAGACATTCTGTTTTCCAGAGCTAAGGCCCAACAAGTAGGCTGTGTCCTGAGCTTGGCATAACAACAATCCTTTGCGCTCACTCTCTGGATGATCTCAGCCACAGCAAAATCCCAGAATTGTTTCACATAATTATTATATTGCTTTAAACAGCACCAGATATTCTCTGAGCTTGAGCAAGCACCAGACAAGCTCAGACAAGTTTCAGTCATTAAGCCCTGCTAGAATCAAACTTGTCACATTTTGCTGTCACCCTTCATTGTCAGGGCTACAATTCACTGTGTAGCCACTGGTATAAGTAATGAGATTTGCCCACACTAAAATGGGTTTCCCCACTAGGGAGGCCTCCAACAGGTCTGTCTAATTTTCCTCCTTCCTTGCAAGCCATTTCCCTCACTTTGAAATTAAACTTTCGTTTGATTCCTGACTCTCCTGTCTCTAGCCTGCTCCATTTGGCTCCAGCCGTCCACAGGTTACAGGCCGGTTCGGTCCAGGTGACAAAAAATATGGCCTAAATCACTAGTAATTAAAGAAACTGAAATTAAAGCAACTCTGAGGGTCAACCTCACACCAATCATATTGGCAAAGTTGGCAAAAAAAAGGAAAATGACAAATGCTGGAGGGGTTGTGTAAAAACTCATACCTTAATGCACTGTGGGCAGAACTGTGAACTGGTTCAGCTATTCTGGAAAGCAATTTGAAACTATGCCCAAAAAGCTATTAAACTGCATTCCCTTTGACCCAGCAATATTGTTACTAAGTCTCTAGCCCAAAGAGATTAAAGAAGAGAAAAAGGACTCATATGTACACAAATATTTACAGTAGCTCTTTTTTGTGGTGGCAAAGAATTAGAAACTAAGGGGGTGCCTATTATTTGGGGAATGGTTGAGTAAGTTATGATATATGCATGAGATGGAATACCCTTGTGCTTCAAAAAAAAAAATGATGAAGGGGATTATAGAAGCCTGGGGAAAATCTGTATAAATTAATGCAAAGTGAAGTCAAGAGACTCGTGCATACAAAATACTGTAAAGACAAACAACTTCGAAAAACTTAGATATTCCCACCTATACAAAGACCAACCACAAATTCCAAAGAACTCTTAATGAAATATGCTACCCAAATCCCAGAAAGAAAGGTGATGGACTCTATATTTGACATGACCAACGTGGGAATTTGTTTTGCTTGACTAGACATGTCTGTAGAGAATTTTGTTTTTCTTGCTTTCTAAATGTTAGGGGTGACAGGGTTAGGAGAAAGTAGAAGGGAGAGAATGCAAACCTGAAAATAAAATTTTATATTATTTTAAAATTTAATTTTTTAAAAAGCTGCCTTCAAAAATCACTCAACCAGTGCTTCTGGGATCTGCAGACCTCCCTCAACACTATCACATAAAGTGATGCACACTACCCATGAGAACAGATAAGCAGATTATTTTTTTCCTGACGAATATGTTATGGCAGATATGTCCAGATGGCAATTTTTACATGGAGTAAGCCATTTTTTCCCCCTCCTAAGACATTCATCTATCTAGGCACATGCCAAATTCACTGAATTCCATTAAATGCTGTAGAAAATATGACCACTATTTTTTATTTTTCAGTCAGTGACTCCTCAGATAGAACCACAAATCAAACTTATGATCGTGAGATCTGGAACTGGGAAGGAGCTCAGAGGCCCAACTAGTCTAATCCCCTTATTTTATAAGTGGGAAAAATGAAACCCAGGGAAATAAAGTGAATTGTATTCCAAATAAAAATAACTAGCATTTATATAGTGTTTACTTATGTGCCAGGCACTGTGCTATATGCTTTATGATTATTATCTCATACAATTCTCATAAAACCCTGAGAGTTGGGTGCTAATTATTATCTCCATTTTACAGATGAGGAAACTGAGGCAGCGGGTGGTTAAGTGATTTGCCCAGGGTCACCCAGTTAGTGCCTGAGGCCAGATTTTATGAGTAGACAGTATTACTACAGACCTGGAATCAAGGCTAAGCATACTTGTTTTGTGGATAATGAGAATATAAGACTGGCTGGATATAGGGTTTATGTCAGAGAGGTATGATCACATTATGAGGGTCTTTGATGCAGTAAGAGCCATCCAACAACTGTTTAGAAAGCCACCACATGCAAGGAGCTGTGTTAGGTGCTGGGGTAAGAAGAGAAAAACAAAACACTCCTTGCCCACAAAGAGTTTACATTCTACTGGACATCTACAATGGGTACAGGGGGGAGTAACTATAAGGTACATTCAACTTTGGGGAAGAACACTAACAATGAGGGAGGTCAAGGAAGGCCTGTGTGGCATCTGAGATGAGACCTGAAGGGAGAGGGATTCCAAGAGGCACTGGTGACTGGTTAATAACCACCACTAACACCACTGGCTATCCCTAGAGAGGCAGGGATTCTGAAGGAGCCTGTTTGGTAGGATAGGAAGACATGACAGCATATATTTTTCACAGTATTTGGCCCAGGAAGGGACACTGAGGGAGGGAGAGAATGGGCAGATTCTTTCTTTATTACAGAGCAAGAAAATGAAATACAGAGAAGACTAGAACCTATCCTAAGGCACATAGTGAGAAAGAAGCTAAGCTGGCTCCAAGCCATGGAAGGTTTTTTCTGTCCTTAGGTATAGGGACTAGAAGAGTGAGCCCAGTTCTCCTTTCCTTCCCTTTTCCTCGGGGCTAGTTCATCCTGACAAGGTATGGCTCTGCCAAGGTCCATGAGCCCAGAGTGGTCACTGAGATTGGTTAATGCCAGCCTCCCAGGCCTTCTGAATTAGCAAAAGCTCCTTTCTCCTTTAGCCCTACCTGTCTGGCCTCCAGTGACATCTCAGGATCAGTCCTGGAGCTAGGGAAAAGGTAGGACAGAAGTGGACAGACAAGTCTAGCCTAATGTCCTGCTCCTTCCTTCTACCCTTTAAGTTGACATCAGGCCAAGGGAAACAGTGTTACAGCCCTCTCCATAAACGCATACATACCCAAGTACACCAACATACACTTATACACAGACAAACATAGGCATCTAAGACACATAATGGTTTTAGTGCAAGGATCCTGGCCATGAAGACAGAAAGTTGATGTTTGAGTGCTGGTCCTGTGTCACTTAGTTGTGTGACCTTAGTTGACTCACTGTGTGATCCTAAGTTTCCTTGTTTGTAAAATGAGGCAACTGGACTAGAATAAAGTGGACCAGAATAACCAGATGACTTCCAAGTTCCCTTCTACTTTTCCCTTCCCTATTCTCCACTTTCTCCTTCTTCCCCCCATTTCCTTTCATTCACGGGTGTGCTGGAGTCAGCTCCCACCAAGCTAATTGTCAAATTTTCTATATAAGCATTTACATCTAAGAAATAGGCAAACACTACAAATCAGGGCTTGATTTGTTGTTTTGTTAATTGTCTAGACTTAAGAAAGTGATAGAGAAAATGTTAATAATGATCATTAAACTTTAAAGTGTGTCCTGCGTACATTTTTCCAGAGTTGTTTATTAAACATTTACCAGCACACCCCAGCTTCACGTCTCTCAGATAAGTAAAGCACTCTGCTAGCATTAGAGTGCATACAAATTCAACTAATATTAATCATTGACCTTAAAGCTAAGCTACTCCTAGCACATAGGAAATCCATTAGAATATAAATGCTGGAAGGAATCTTAGAAGTCAGAATGTTTAGAGTTTAAATGAACCTCAGAGATCATGACGGGAAGGGAAATGGGAAGAAAGGAATTCTCTGCCATGTCATGTTAAATCAACCACGTGTAAATGATATGCAAATGAATGCTAGATTTAATGCAGTCAGATTTCTGTTTCAAATACCCTCAATTTGAGAAGACAGTAGGGCACCTAAAGTAGAAATGTCAGATAGATAATTGGAAATAGTGGCCTGTGGTACAGGTTGTAAGTCAGAGCTGGAGTCACACATCCAGATGTCATCTGGACAGAAGTGATAAGTAAAGCCACGAGAGTATAGAGAACAGAGCAGGCGGTGGAGGCTAGAGAAGCATTTAATTAGGGGGCAGAAAGACAAAAGATCAGTTGTCCAGAACCAGTTAAAGAAAAAAATAGGAGTCTCAAGATGTGGTGGCCAAGGTCAAAAGTTGCAGAATGGTCTAGGAATAGAAGGACAGAGAAAAGGCCACTGGTAACTTTTCAAAGGAGCTGCTTAATAGAATGGCAGGAACATTCCCCAGATCTTGATAAATTTTGGCATTATGCCAAACTTCAGTCAAAATTAGTTACCCTTAACAGTATTGAGATAAGAATTGGTGAATGGCTGAGTTGGAATAGAAATACGATCCTGATCTCTGCATTTTATTTCCTACCATCTGTAAAATAAGAGGCAAGTCAAGTCAACAAACACTTATTAAGCATCAACTATATACAAAGAACAGTTCCACATATTGGGGATATTAAGGCAAAAATTAAAAATATTTCCTGCTTTCAAGTTTA